TTGGGTGAGTCAACTCCTAGGTAAGGTCTATTGGTTCAGTGGGCTCGCTCTGGTTGTGACGTAAATACAGTCGTGCCCCTCTGGACAATTACCCCGTTTAACGACGGATCCACTTAACGTTGAAGTTTTTGCGATCACAAAACGATGTTTAGATTGGTTTTTTTCGCTTCACGTTGATCGGTTCCGTTTCGGGAACCGATTTTTCACTTTATGACGATCAGCAAACAGCTGATCGTCGGGTTTCAAAATGGCCGACGGCTTTCAAAATGCTCCCCTCCGCTGTTTTCTAGAATCCTCGCTATACAGGCACTGAAAATGGCCGCCATATGGAGGATCTTCGCTGGACGAGTAGGTATTCAGCCCATTGGAATGCATTGAACCGGTTTTCAATGCGTCTCAATGGTTTTTTTATTTTAATTTCACTTGATGATGTTTTCGCTCTACAGCGATTTCAATGGAATGAATTAACATTGTCAAGCGAGGCACCACTGTACTGGATTTCGGCCACTGCCCTTAGGGGCTCTGCTGTGAGGTCTAAAGAGGAGAAAAGTGGACATTCTGTTGGGCGGTTTTCCTCACCAAACCTCATTCAACTAAGCATGCACAGAGAGTTTTTCTCCTGGGAGGAGGAGCATGCGCTTGGTACTCGTTAAGTCCATTAAGGTTGTTCAGGAAAAGCTTCCCAGTCGGTTCTGCCTCATGTCTAGGGTGGGGGCGGGGGCGACTGGCCAAGAGTCGTATCGTTACCCTCTTTATGGGCACCAAAATGTGCCACAACTGGGAGAAAAAAGGGCACCCTTACTTGGACGTTACCCTATGAAGCTCTCTCCTTTAGGGTGGCAGCCAAAACATCATTTGTTGATTTTTTTTATGGTTTCCCCTCGAGAACCTGGGCAGTGTGTGTCTGCCAGGGTTGTGTCAACATCCAAGCTTCTTATTTTGGTACCAAATATTTCTAAAGGCGCCTTTCCGCTTGTTGAGTACTCTTGAGTGCGAAGTGTAACAAAATTGAAAATAACTTCCAAGCAAAGCTAATCTTTTTTGGAGGGGAAAACCTGTTATAAAATAGTGTTTTTTTTATTTTAAAAAATGTGGTTGTTCTGGTTCGGTAGCCATGAAAAGAGTTCCTTAAAAACGGACAAAAGTTTGCTACCTCTCGCAAGTGCCCTTTAAAAGAGAGAATTGTTTGAGCTTGCGGCAAGAAACGGGTAAGCGTGGGTGCCCGCTGGATTGTTCTCCAAAGTGGGCACCATAACCACATAAATCAGTTTTTTTGCTCAACTTCCAAGCGTTAACAATGAAGTAATTAACCACTGGATTAATAGTTCCCTCTCTAGGGTCATTAAGCAAACGTGAACAACGAGAGCATACAGATCTTTTTTTACATAACCGGCGTTGTTAATGCGATGGGAGAACTGCATCCGAAAGCAAAGTTGTCGTAGCGCTAGCAGATGACGGATGATGCATTCATATTAACTTCCACCTTGGGAGGTGGATCTTTTTCACGCTGAACTGGTGGAAGCTGGTTCTCTCCCACCACATATTTCAACGTTTCCCTTTGCAAAGCGTTTGCTGGGGAAATCTAAGGTGGAGAAACAGGAGTCCCTGCCCAGGGAAGGCGGTTGCTGGGAGACTAGGGGAAGGAAGGGCTCACAAAGCCGAGCATTCATGCGCCGCTGGGCCTCCCGTGGGAAAAACCAGCGCCGTGTTGGCCTTGTGCAAGCGACGAGGTTCCCGGGCGCCCCTAGAAGGAAGGAATGGGGACTCCTTTCTGGCTGCTTTGTCCGTAGAAAAACCCTGGAAAGATCACCCTTGAGTGCATGCTGTTATTGTGGTTGCTGCTGTTTGTGAGTTTTCTGTGATACTCAACACACCGGAATCAGTTGCCTTAAGCGGAAGGTGATCTGTTCTATTCTGGGCGTCCCAGGCCGCTTTGCGCATTGGGCAATCCGGGCGAGAGTTTCTCCTACCGATTAGTCTTAAGTAATTGGAAGTCGGCATGCAGCACAGCGGGAGACTTCCTCGAGGAGGCTGATCTGGCTTAGTCCCGAAGAGGTGAAATGGAATTAGGGAGGCTGAGCGGATAGGTGACCCTCCTGGTGGCCAGGTGCCACAGAGAGAGAGAGAGAGAGAGGACACAAGAACTGAAGGTTTGGTCCGAGAGGGAATTCGTGGGTCACTCAATGGGACGCTCCCGTCTTCTTTCCGAGTTCGATTCTCCAAAGCAGGACACATTTGGTCAAGGAGATCAAGGGCGTCCTGGTTCCGTAGCATCCCCTATCTAAGAGCTGTTTTTTTTTCCCCTGGAAGAGAAAATGCTTGTTTCTGGAGTCCACGCTTTTTGCGGTATCCCCCAGGCCTGAGCACCATGGTCGTTTTTTCATTTCCAAATTGTGTGTGGAGGTGGCGGCCTTGATCTACCTTCCCATTCCTTTTCTGAAGAACTTAAGGGTCTGTTCTAAAATTCCGATTGTGCGTTGCTTTCCCCTGCAAATGTGAAATCTAAAAAAAAAAAAAAACTTTTACAAATCTCAGCAGCTGCAAGTTTTTTTTTATCAGAGGTCATACTACAGGGTGCAAGGGTCCTTGTGGGTTGCCACAGAAATGTTGGCATCCTGCCATCAGCCACGAGGAGAGGGCCTTTGGCAGCCGAAAATTGTGGGTCTCTGGCATCCTCTAACAGAGGTTGCAGGAGAACTGCATCGCTAATTATGTATTGATGTGTGCAGAAGTACCGTAGGGCCATGATATCCGTGCGGGATCTGTTCCAAGGACCCCCTCCCTGCGTGCAAGGAAGCCAAAAAACACGGAAGTATTGAACACTGTATGTTGCATGGAGTCTGGCTTCCCCTCGTGGCCAGCTGCGGTCACTAGAGCAGCGGATAAGTGAATCAGCAGGTACCGACCCGACCGATAGGGGTGGTCCTACTGTACGGATACTCTGAAAGCAACCAACATATTATTGCAAAATTTCGCAAATTCTAAATTGCCCCCAGAACTGTCTTTGACTTGTCTTTTTCTTTAATGCCTACCAAACCCAACAACAACATTGGTACACTTAAATGGGCCTTTGACTCGATTATACGGCTTGCACGGCAGAGCTAGAAAAAAATGTGCCATTTGGCTTGTAGCAAAGATTCCTTCTTTGCTGCCGTTGGAGCGTTCTGTAGTCTGTCTGTCGACCTCGGTTATCCGTAAAGAGATGTCGTTTGGCTGTTTATCGGGTCTATTCCCTGCACTTCCCAGGAAAAGGGAACTCGAGGAAAACACATGTGGGAGCTTTAATAAACTGTGCATGTGACCCTTCTAGACATCTGTTTTGGAGGCATGCATGATTCACTTCCCCTCTTCCTAGTAAAACCGGGCTACTTGGCTGTAATTTTCTGTGGCTGTGGAAAAATTCAATCAATGCAGCACTTAATGAGCATGTAATTTATGCCCAACTGCATGTACCGAAGGTCTAGCAAATGACCGAGATGACGCTATTGAAGCAGCCCGCTTCTAGCCCCCCCAATATTATCTGCACATTTAATTTGTTTTTAATGTGACCCCTATTTCATAGACGTCCATAATTCTAAATTGTGCAACGCTTTGTTCCAAATAAATAGAAAGGAAGGAAGCTGAGCGCTTTGAACGTTGCTCCTAGGTGGAGGACGTTTTTTGATGGTGAAGAATCTAGGACACGGGGGGCGTTCCCGACTTGCAGGGGAGTTATATGAGAAGCTGACTTTGAACTCCAGGGCTTTGCAAGTCAGGTTAAACCCTCTTCACCTCCGACAGATACACTTTGCGTGTCTGTATGTGTGTGTGTGAGAGAGAAAGATTATAATTGCTGCAGAACTGGAGTGCTGGACCTTCCACTTTGCCATCGGTTGTTCCGAGCGACCCAGCGGGCTAATGCTAGGGTTAATTACACCTGATTTCAGACTGTGATAATCTCATCAGCGTGATTAAGGAGAGAGAATGTTGAGCAACTGGTTATCTCCCAAGATCCCTGCTTTTCACGCACTGAAGGGCCGTCTCTGGCAAATGGACTGAGCCATCCTCTGCCTTCCAAGAAGATCTTTCTTAATAATAACAGTTTTGGATAAGCATCTTTGGATCAGCCAGTCCGGCCCTTCTCACGGAGGCCCCGTGGGGGAATCGAACTCCCAACCTCTCGCTCCCCAGCCGGAGAGCTAAACCACTGAACTATCATTGTTTCTGTAAAATAAATCATGACACGGTGCAATAGGCCTGGGTTGTTGTTCCTCTGAGGTTGTATTTACCTTATTTTCAGACCTGCTAAGGACCAGATGATTTTTTTATTATGTCCTGAATTGAAAAAAATCACAGAATTCAAAAGACAGTGTAATGTACATTTTATTTATTATTTATTTTACTTATTCAAAAAACATTTTTACCATCCATTTTAAAACGTCTCCTAAACAGTCTCTCGCTCAGGAAAAGAGAGAGATTCTGTGTTCCTTCCGAAGAGCTGAAGGTTCTTCCCTACTTTTCCCTCACAACAGTCCTGCAAGGTTGTTCACGTCGACCTACCCTGAGATACTGCTGCTCTCCAGAGAGACCGGGTTAGGATGACCCTCCTTTCCCTGGCCAGTGTTTCCAACATTTCTGGAGGGCAGTCGATCAGGAAGGCTAGATTAAAGAATCAAAATATAGTAGCATTCAAAGGAACATTCCCTCCCCCTAAAAGTGTAAAATATCAGGGTCCCCCACCCACCCCTGTAATAGTCAGATTCCATTTGTACCACACCAATTGTGTTGGTTCGCCTCACTCAGGGTAATTCCCATATATGTTTATCACTTGGGAGGTGTAACATCTAATGATGATTGTTTGCATGTGCGAATGGGGCCATGTGCACTGTCTTGGTTATCATGGTGGACTCCGGTTTAGATGCTACGCGGAGAAGAGTTCGCCCACGTGGGAGCTGCCTGTAAATGAGGTAACCTGAAGAAACCCTAACCGCCCTCCTTGTATTGTTCTTCTCCATAGTTTCGTGAGAACATCCAGGACATCATCCCTCTGCTGCCAGCCCAGGATGATTACTACCTCTTGAAATGGCTCCGAGGTAAGAGGCATCGGTTGGCATCCTCTGGAGAAGGGCACGCTTGGTGAGAACCACCCTTAAGCTAATGCATCGGACAGCACAGTTTTGTGGGGGTTCAGGGAAGGTTCTTCTGCATTGCGCGACGGGTAGACGCTTTGTGAGGAATGGAGCTCAACAGAGCATCGTCATCTGAGGAGTAAGACAAGAGGACAAGGCAGCTAGAATAAATATATTCCTTTGGACCAGGGAAAACCACCCGGCACGCCTTTATCAGCAGAAGGGGAAAGCAACCCAACACCAAGGGGATAAGCCTTCTACATCATAGCTGAGAGCGCATAGTTAGGTCGCATAGCGTCTACAACCCCCTTCTTAAACCTCCTAAGAAGTTACAATGGGAAGGGCGTTTTGGGGGCTGGACATCCCTCGGTTGCGGCTGGCGCAGAAGAAACGCAACAGCTTCAAAACTCATGGCTAGAGGTCAACACTGAGCTTAATTTTAAAAAAGAGGGTTTAGGGCTGCCGGATCACGTCCGGAGCGTCGGCTTCAAGTTCCACCCTTGGCGGTCACGGATGGGGTAGCCCCTCCCAGTCTTGTCAGATGAAAGGCTGTGGTCTTTGTTCCAGGACTATGTTTTAGAAGCCCGGATGCTCAGCCCGCATGTACATAAAACTAACTGGCATGGAGGAAAGTTAAGCACCCCTTGTTTGCCTGCTTATGTTTGTTTTATTTATATGATCTCCTCTTTTGTTCCAATGAATAGCCTACGTGGCCACATCCTTGCTTTCTGTGCTCACCACAACCCTGTGAGGCAGGTTAGGTGTGCATGCACACACACACATACATGCGCGTGCACACATAGAATCTCAAGGTCCTTTATGACCAGCATCTGCTTCTCCAAGCTCCCACTCCAGAACTAATCATGACACCCCATTAATTGAAAGGTGAGGTGCTCAGGGGGTTGGATTTTGTGGTCTGAGCAGGACCCCAGGGCTTTTCTGCTGGGCAGTGCAGGATCGTGGCCCGTGCCTTGCCCCTCGGCTGCTGAAGTAAAAAAAAAGCCAGGTTCATCTGCAGGTGCAGGCAGGGTGGGGTTTCACCCCCTGCTTTCCTGTCTCCCTCCCGGGGATCCACGAGCAGGTTCAGTTGGCTGAGAATACATCTTTCTCCGTGTGATCCATAGTGACCTTCCTGGCCACTGATGCAAGGTTTAGCATTCCCAGGAGAGTTTTACTTTCTGAAGACTGGACTCTAGAGACCAAACCGTGGGGGCAGAGGATTCTCACTAAGAACTGCTATTCTACTTTCTACGCTCCAGGAAGTTAGGACTGCATATAAAGCAAAGAAGGTGTTAAAGGTGTGGGCCGCTTGGGACCATCCAGATGTTGATGTGATGCAACTCCAGATGTTCCTTACCCTCAGATGGGCTGTCTAGAGCAGATGAAATCGGAAAGCCAGGGTGACCCGGCTACCTCAGTGGGGTCGTTTAACGGATTGTTGTTCCTGACCGCTTGGCGTGTGTTTTGGTGTGGCCTCGGTTCTTTAGTGTGAGATTTCTTTGACCCTTTTTTCGTATTCGCCTGCGCTCCGTGTGGTTAGCTTTAAATACGGTCTGTCAATGATGTAAGCCGCCTTGCGTCCCTTTAAGGAGGAAGCCCGGGGTAAAAAGGTTTTAAATGAATGAGAAAAATCTGGAGGGCAGCCTTTGGCTTCCACGGGTTGAAACCGAGGCTACCCTCTCTCCTGTTCTGGCTCCGGATCTGTTGGTGGGGGACCACTAGGCGAAAGGGGTATCTGCATAACACCGTTCTAGCGGTCGGAGAATGCTTTAGGTGCTTTGGCTTTGACCCCTGCGCCCTTGGGTTTATAAGGCAGAAGTCTTTGGGGAGGTAGAGTGGATTTCTACTCTACTGAATGACGGCACAAAAAATCTAAGGCCAACATCAGCTTGTAAATCCCCGGATGTAATGACAGCGCTTAGAGTGGTGTCAGAGTGCTAGGACTCAATAGTAGCGGTCGGAGAATGCTTTAGGTGCTTTGGCTTTGACCCCTGCGCCCTTGGGTTTATAAGGCAGAAGTCTTTGGGGAGGTAGAGTGGATTTCTACTCTACTGAATGACGGCACAAAAAATCTAAGGCCAACATCAGCTTGTAAATCCCCGGATGTAATGACAGCGCTTAGAGTGGTATCAGAGTGCTGGGACTCAATAGAGTAGGTAAAGGTAAAGGTTCCCCTTGACATTGAGTCCAGTTGTGTTCGACTCTAGGGCGCGGTGCTCATCCCCGTCTCCAAGCCGTAGAGCCAGCGTTTGTCCATAGACCATTTCCGTGGTCACGTGGCCAGCACGACTAGACACGGAACGCCGTGACCTTCCCACCGTGGTGGTCCCTATTTATCTACTTGCTTTTTACATGCTTTCGAACGGCTAGGTGGGCAGGAGCAATAGAGTAGAAGCCCTCTAAATTGTTAATCGGAGTGAAAGCTGATGGCCAGGATCCTATTAATAATTTACACACAAGTAAGTACAGTGGCTGATGTCGTAGCAGCAAGTTGCCACGAATGGACAAGGGGCTGGTTGCGTTCCTGGGTGTGTGCTCGCCACGGGACGAGGCTCGTGCCCTGGAACCCAACCGGCACCTCATTAACTAGCAGCCGTAACTTACGCAGCTACCTGTACACCTGGGTCAATTGTCAGTAGAAAGGCAGCTGGGGAGAAACCCACCCTGCTTCCGTTCATTTGCTCCACGAAGAGCTTGTACCAGGCATCGTTTCCTAGTGTGTGGCTGTTTCAGGCCTACAGATAAGTCCTTTGGGTAAACAGAGCCGTTCTGTTTACCTACGGTCACAGTATTTGTAGGAACAACAGATGAAATAGGGGCTTATCTTCCTTAACTAAGGTGGACAGAAAGCTCTTTCCTTTTTAAAAAAAAATCTGCTGGACTCTGCTATTTGCACTTTCTCCCGTTCTTTTGTCGCTGAAGTTCATGCGGGGCTTTTCCTGATGACCGTCCTCGTGCCTGACACAATAAAGGCTTTGCACACAACAGATCTCAATAGATGCCAGTCTGGGGCAAGATTCTAAGGTCAAGGTTGCCAAATAATCAGTTCGGTCCAGGGCATGAATGCGGAGATAAAAGAGGCCTGCAAGGAACCAGGGGCAGAGTGAACACAACATATCATTGTTCCTTGTGTTTTAAGTGAAAAGGGCCGCTGTTGTGTTTGCACGTGTCTGTTCACCATTCATCCAGCTACTGCATTCATCTGTGTAGATTCTTGAGTGCATATGAAAGCTTGTGCTTTAGTGTATGTTTATAAACCTAACCATTATTATTTTATCTATTTAAAATGTCTTTAACCCTGCCTTTCTCCTTAAAAAAGGACCCAGGTTGCCTTACAAGAATTAAAAATTGACTTACAGTATTTAAGATTTCTTTCTTTCTTTCTTTCTTTCTTTTAGTCATATGCAGCCTTTCTCCCCATAAGACACCCAAGGGGGTGGCTTCCAACAGATAAAATCTTGTCTGAACTGTGGTTGGTTTCAGACAAGCCGCCTGTAATCAATCCACTGTGGATGAAACTGGCTTACTCAAACTAGCTATGGTTAACAACAAACCACAGTTGATCAGGGCAACACAAGAAGCCACATAGGATTTTAGGACTCAGTTTCACCGGATGGCCAGAGGTTGAGCAGTTACAAGCAATTTTTAGATATGGAGGGTTTGTGAGTCGTGTGTAAGCCACCCAGTGTAGCGCTTGCACTAATGGGGCAGTATATAAATCTAAGGAATAAATGCAGTGTTGGCGAAACGTCACTCCATTCCAAAGCTCTGCGGCCCAGTAGAGGAAACTGTGTCCCAGGAGATCCTAAACTTACTAATTACACTGAGATCTTGCCCTTTCTTCGTGGAACGGAGAACAACACATACATAATACTGCTACCACTATCATGATATCACAGCAACAACCCTGTGAGGTAGGTTGTTGTTGTTGTTTAGTCGTGTCTGACTCTTCGTGACCCTGTGGACCAGAGCACGCCAGGCCCTCCTGTCTTCCACTGCCTCCTGGAGTTGGGTCAGATTCATGTCCGTAAATGACACTGTCCAACCATCATGTCCTCTGTCATCCCCTTCTCCTCTTGCCCTCACACTTTCCCAACATCAGGGCCTTTTCCAGGGTTAGGCAGACCTAAAATCACCTAGTAATCTTTATAGTAGAGCTGGGGTCCAAGCTATCTAAAAGACCGCATCTCCCTCTATGAGCCTGCCCAGGCTTTAAGATCATCGGGAGGGGCCTTTCCCTCAGTCCCACCACCATCCTAGGTGTGTTTGGTGGTGACACTGGAGAGGGGGCCTTCTCTGTGGCTGCTCCTTGAGACTCTGGAACTCCCTCCCACTGGAAGCCAACCTGGCCCCATCTTGGCTGTCCTTCCACAAGCAGTTGATGACATCTCTCTTCCAGCAGGCTTTCCCTGGGTGACCGGCTGTCTGCAAGGGACTGGATGGTTGATTTCGGTTGCTTTTAAACGTGTTTTCAGTCGTGATTTTATTTGCCGTTTTCTTGTTAAATTCCTTTTTGAAAATAGTCATCTATTTACAGCGTCTAGCTTTTAAATATTGTCCTTTTAATGTTTCAGTCGTGATTTTATTTGCCGTTTTCTTATACTTGTTAAATTCCTTTTTGAAAATAGTTATCTATTTATAGCGTTTAGCTTTTAAATATTGTCCTTTTTAAGCCGCCTTGGGTCCCTTTAAAGGAGAAAGGCAGGGTGAAAACATTTTAAATAAATACATAAATAAATAAATATCAGTATGGTTGTCTACACATATCCCTTTTAAAGGAGAAAGGCAGGGTGAAAATTTTTTAAATAAATACATAAATAAATATCAGTATAGTTGTCTACACGTATTCATTCCTCCTGCTCCCACCACCCCAAGGCTCCTGGTCCATCTCCTGGTAGATCTCTGGACGGCCTCTGTATCTATTAGCAGAGGGATATTTCCAGAGCTGGAAAACTTTCCATTTCTGGGACAGCAAACCCGTCAAATCCCCCAGACATTTAGGTGTGGAAATTGGGGTGTTTGCAGCCCGAGTAATGGACATTTTTCCAAGGCACTGATATTTCCAGGAGAAGGCAGATCTCCCTGGCCGTTTGCTCCTGGTGTCGAAGGTTCAGGGCCGGTTGCAGCCTTTGATACCCGCAATTAATGCCTTTCCATTAGGATCAGCAGACTATGATTAGAACCGTTTCCCCCCCGAAGACTCTGCCCTCCGGTCCCTCGGTTGGAAAGATAAAGCGCGAGATAAAGGAAGTTCCAAGTTTGCTTGTTTGCTTTCCAAATCCCAGCTCATCATGGTGGGGAGATAAGGCCGGGGAGATCACGTCGCAGGACCGGCCTTTCGTTCTCCCCCCTCCCAGTTGCCACGACAGCCCACATAACGTGGGCACTGAACAGGTAGAACTGGCCATTGTAAGGAAACACAGGCGGTCCTTTCTTGATCCGGCAGAGAATTTATATAATCCGAGGCTGTGAAAAAAAAAAAAAAGGCCGCCGGGCGAGAGCTGGGAGCTTTCTTGTGTAAAGAGTGTTTATCCAGGGAATAAAGAGGATAGGGCCGCAAGTAAAGGATCATCAGGTGTCAGGAGGTGCCGCTGGGCACCAAGGCCGAGGCTGTTACATCCTTTACGACGGGCAGGCGTGGAAAGTTTGACGGAATTGTTATATAAATATAGCTTCTCAAAGGGCTCATAGTTTCAAAATCTCGTCAACTTTGTGTTTCCAAAATTAGAACAAACGAACAGGAACTTGTACTAAAACATTGGAGTGCCAAGCCCTACAGCTCCATGTGCCAGCCTGCGAGCCAGCCAGCCATGCCCTTTGCCCCCTTCTCCCATTCCACGCTCACCCCCAAAACTGACATTCGATGGTCACGGGCCAGTTCGGTCCTTGCAGGCTGGCCGGCCGGTCTTGGTGCCCTGTTATAGTGGGGGCCCAATCCAACTTCACCCCATCCGTTGGCAATCACGAGGAATGATCTAAGAAGTCTGGGTCATCAAGTCAATGTTGACATATGGTGATCCTTTCCAGGGTTTACTAGGGATTGAATTACTTGGGATCCATTTACCCTTCCTTCCTTCTGGGAGCGCTTCTGGGACCAGCTGGCCCAAGGCTACACAGGCTGGCTCTTCTCCTGGGAGGCCTGGTTGGGGAAACTCTACAGACAGATACCTCTCCACTGAGCTGTAACAGCTTAAACAGGTACAAGGTGAAGATTTGTCTGTAACCTCTGTAATTTTGTTGCAGCCAGATGCTTCAATTTGCAGAAGTCCGAAGCTATGCTCCGGAAGGTATGAGATCTTCCTTCCTTCCTTCCTTCCTTCCTTCCTTCCTTCCTTCCTGGCTGAGTGGTGATTTGAACCCAGGACTCCTGCATTCTAAGCTGTCACTCTATTCTCTACACAAAACTTTGGCTGATACTGGTTTTATCTTGAAGCAGTGTAATGTTGTATTTCCTTCCTTCCTTCCTTCCTTCCTGTTAGAAGATGTAAGTTTCATTATCATATTCATGCCCCCAAATCTTAGAAAAATTAAAAACCGCTTAAAAGGTGGGAGGGGCGGCGGCAATGTTTTATTTCCAGCCTGTAGCTATTTAAATTTTGAAAATGGCTAATACTTTTGCGTCTGTTTATACTAGAGGTGTGCAGTTTTCTGTTTGGTGGACTGTCACCCCCAGAATTCCCTGAACCGCCTGATTGATTCTGGGAACTGTAGTCGAAAAACACAAGACTCCATAGCTCTACAGAGCGGTGGTTCCTAATGTTGGGTCTCCAGATGTTCTTAGACTGCAACTCCCAGGATTCCTGGCCACCACAGCTAGTGGTGAAGGCTTCTGGGAGTTGTAGTCCAAGAACATCTGGGTACCCCAGGTTGGGAAACCCCCTGCACTAGTTTGTGCTGTGTGTTTTCTGCTGTGCTCTTAACTTCTATATCTCTTCAAGTAAATCAGAACAAATATCCTTGCTTTACTGATTTTTTTAAAAAGACGTTGATTTGGGGTGTTTTTCGGGTGGACTCAACCTCTGTTAATGTAGTTAACCAGTGTGACTACCATCCCATCATGTGTCTTACAGTGGAAAACATTCACATTAACCAATACCCGAATTTTGGCAGTGATTATTAAAGTGCATAGAGGTTAACAAGAATATACATACAGTTCTAAACTGGTTGCAAGTGGAGGTGAAGGCAGACGGAATGGCCTATCTTTTTTCTTGTACAGTAGGACCCCCGTATCCATGGGATCGGTATCCAAGGTCTCACTTATCAATGGTCTGGAAATATTAAAAGAAAAAAGAAGTAGAAATATATATCTTCATGGCATATGTACCAGAACTGGCCACTAGAGGGAGCCAAAGACCGTGCTCTGTATTCTTGGTGTGGCCACTTCTGGTAATGCATGTGAAAATCCTTTTTTCTCAATCATCCATGTTTTTCAGCATCTGCAGGGGGAACCCATCCTCCATGGATATGAGGGGCCCTACTGGAAATAATTTAGCTCCATGAAACTAGCAAACCAGAAAAAAAACACTTTATTTGCATGCTGCAGTTAAATTTACCGACTTCAGCTCCTTTGGGGGGGGGATGGTTCTTTAACCACTTTTTCCTCCTCCCTTCTTCCTTGCGTGTCCTATCTGGAAACGCTTTTGACTAAGCAGCAAGGTATAAATGCGTTCAATAAATACCACATTTTTCTGTTTATAAGACACCCCCATGTATAAGACGCCCCCCACTTTTCTAATCCAAAATTTAAAAAATCTAAGTGGGGCTTAGCAAGTGCAGGGGGAAAAGGATCAAAACGCTGCAGGATCGCTTTGATCCCTGCTTTCCCTTCCACTTGTTTTTGTTCTCTCCTCAGCTTACTTCCGTGTATAAGACGACCCTCAATTTTTAGTATAAAGATTTTAGACAAAAGTATAGTCTTATACATGGAAAAATACAGTAAGTAAAACAGACACTTTTAAAACTAGTGTTTAAACGAGAGTTTCCCTCTCTCAGACTAGTCTTTGTGCTTTCTCTTTCACTTATCCTACCCCACCCGTAGCATGTGGAATACCGGAAGCGCATCGGGGCCGATAGCATCGCAGAATGGAAGGTCCCAGAGGTGAGTCCTGTGACAACCCCAGACCTACTGGGATATACCACACTTTCACTAAGCTGCCACCAACCATTCCCTGTAAGGAGTCACACAGACCAGGGATGGATTTTCAACAAACAAAGGAATAAGGTTTATTTAAATAACACACAGGGAAAATAAAATGATCAGGTGAATAAGATACAGTAACGTGGCTTAGTCTCAATCATACATACACCAGTTTGGTTCACACAGAACACACTTAAATAAAGCACAGACCCTGACCCTATCAGTTCTGGCTAACCAACAGACACCTGAACCTATCAGGTTGGTACTCTGACACACAGTAGTACCCTGTCTGACACACAGACTCCCACACCAGCTTCTTCTTCCCAGCTGCTGCTTCTTCACATCCCAGCGTCTCCTAACTTCACCACACAGGCATCACATATTTATACAGTACAGCCCCTCCTCCTGATGTCCCGCCTTCCACTCCCCATAGGATGGAACTTTCCCTCCAAACCCATGACAGACAGGTAACATCAGTGCTGTATGTAACAAGTCCTCGTTGCTTAGGTGGGATCCGGGGGTCTAGTTATGGACCAGGATTTCTCTGCAGCGCTGTGACACATAACCAGACCTGCACCGTACACCTCTCTCTCTCTCTCCTCTCTCTCTCTCTCTCTCTCTGTTCCCCACAGGTGATTGAGAAATACATGACCGGAGGAAGGTGCGGTTTCGATCGGGAAGGCAGCCCCGTTTGGTACGACATCGTCGGGCCGCTGGACGCTAAAGGCCTGCTCTTCTCGGCTTCCAAGCAAGATCTGCTGAAAAAAAAATTCAAGGACTGTGAATTGATGCGGGTAGTGTGTGACCAGCAGACCCAAAAGGTGAGGTGGCGGGCAGCCGGCCTAGAGGGGCCGATGGTTTGTCTGCCTTTTGCTCGGTTTTTTTTTGGGGGGGGGAGGCACCCGCGGTCCTTAAAGCCCTATTTTGAAAGCCAGCCGGCACCTCAGAGCCCGTTTTTAAGCCCTGGGAAATGTTTCTCGCTGAATCTTTCCCTGGTGGCCTTCTGACTTGGATGTTGTACAGCACCACACACGAGATGATTTAGTATAAATATGGTGACAATAAATCTGGTTCTTACACTCCTGGAAGCCCAAATGATCCTGCTCTCATTTCTCACCCATCTTGCCTTCTGTGGTAGATGCTGGGTTAGGTGTTTTCTGTGTGTGTCTCCCACACACACACACACACACACACACACACTCCCCAGTTAAGGAGAAAAAGTCTGGATAGCTGTCTAACAATATTTTGGTTCCAAACACTCAAAGCAACAGATGTTGTTGGTGGCAAATCCGCTCTGGGTTTTGCTCCGAACTCTGCAGGAGCCAACCAAGGTGCTGACTCTCATCTCCAGCTTCTGCAAAGGTGAAAAGCATTTACTGCCCCCTCTGACATAAGAGCCTTCCTTTGGCTCAAAGTTGTCTGCCCACCCTGTCTTAAGGCAAAATGAAATGACTCCTTCCTTCTTTCTTTCTCTCTCCCTTTCTTTCTACCCACTCCCCACTTACGAAGCAGCGTGTACTGTCTTCTCGAGCATTCTCACTCTTACGAATCTTCACATTCGTTCCTTTAATGTATGTTTTTCTACTGCCGGCTACATTGCTAATAGGATTCAGAGCTACAGGATTTAAGGAAACCCATGAACGAGGGCATTGGGTTGAGACATGATTCCAGTTTTAACATATAGGACCTAAAGCCTGTGCCGATTCCGCCGAAAGCAACTTTCCCATGTTTTGTGTATCCTGAAAAACTATAACATCTGGCTACGGAGAGGGTGGCGCCAAACTTCCTTGGGCTACAGGGAATGCTCTCGGAGTCATCGGTTCCAAAGGTTTTCTCTTGTCAGGTTGCTGATATGTTTTGCAAGCGCGATAATACATTGGGTAGTTCATTCTTCAGGATTTCCGTTCTGTGTTAAGCTTTCTTCTGTGTATTCCCCCCCCCCCATGGGCTGTCACGTCTGTTCCAAGTAATGGTGACCTTTTTGCCAAGGCGTTCCAGGTAGAGAATACACCATTCCCTTCTTCTGGGGGCAGCTTTGGCACTGAGCAGCTGGCCCAAGGCTACCCAGGCTGGCTCTTCTCTCAGGAGGCCCAGTGGGGGATTGAACCTCCAACCTTTGGCTCCACTGCCGGATAACTAAACCACTGAGCTAGCCAGCCAGGCTAGAAGTGGTTTCTTCTTTCTTTTCTTCTGGGGCAGCTTTGGCACTCAGCAGCTGGCCCAAGGCTACCCAGGCTGGCTCTTCTCCCGAGAGGCAGAAACGGGGAATCGAACCCCTCGGATCTCTGGCTTTGCAGTCAAAGACTTAACTCACTGAGCTATCCAGCCAGCCTGTGTACTTTAGACGTTCATAAGGTGTTGAACTAGCTCGCAGCTTGGACCACTGTTTACACCATACGTTCCTCACAGCTTTTCATGTAGCTGATGTTGGCCCAGCTTCCAAGTGAGAAATCTAACTTCGCGGATCCTTCCTCATTTCTCTGCCACTTTCTGGTTTAATCCACCTGTTGTTGTTGTTGTTGGGGTTTTTTGTTTTGTTTTGTTTTGTTTTTTTGTGCTTCCCATCCTCTCAGCAGCTGCCCAGAAGGCACTTAAGAGCCTTTAGCCAAGGAAAAGTCCAGATTTGTTTTTCCTCTTAAAAGGGATCGATAATTTTATTTTAAATATTTTATAAAGCATCTCGGTTTTAAAGAGCGGCACACACAGGTTAGGAAAAAAAATCAGCCCTAAAGTAGGTATGGACAATCCTGGTTAAGTATGTTGTGATAGCCACCTTGACTATGCTGGTAGAAAAACGAACTACAAATCTTCACTGCTAAAGCTGAATAGATAGGAAACTGGAACAAAATCACGTTTTTTTTCATTTCCTTTTTATCTCCTTTGTGTTTTTTTTCCCAGCTGGGGAGAAAGGTTGAAACTATCACGATGATTTACGATTTTGAAGGACTGGGCTTGAAGCATCTCTGGAAGCCAGCTGTCGACACCTACTCAGAGGTGAGAGTCGGCGAGGAAACTGATGTATATCCCAGTGAGAGAATTTTGCCCCAACTCCGATTTTTACAGGTTTAGCGGCTTGTTGTGTCGTTGTATGAACTCCCTCCCCCCCCAATTTGTCACCTTTAAGTCTGGGCCACTGGACCCTTCTGCTTCAGAAGCACCACTTAGTATGAAATGAAATTGTGCCTGGGCTGAATCCACCTGACCGTGGAATTAGACCATCGACAGGAGGCAATTGGGAGACTGCATGAACCATAGCCAGAAATTCACTGGATGTGTGTAGAAATCTCGTTGTCAAGAGAAAAGATGGGCTAAATCATGGTGGAGATCTAGAAAGGCAACATGTAGACGACCAGACACACATGTATTTCTAAACTTCAATGAACAGTTTGTAGTAGGAGGTTATAGTTTGCTATTCTGCAAGTTTTCATTCATTCATTCATTCATTCATTCATTCATTCATTCATTCATTCATTCATTCATTCATTCATTCATTCATTCATTCATTCACACCTATAAGCCACTTTTCTCCCCCTAAGAGGACTCAAGGTGACTCGAGGATTCAATTCTTGTCATCCTGGAGAGTGGGAGGGGGTCATTTTGCACCTGACCGCTAAAGGTAGAATTCAGGCTTTTAAAGTTACAGGCTTGCATTTACCAACACCATGCCTGAGGATCTAAAAGCTTCTCTTTTCCAGAAAAGGTCCAGTAGGACCAGCTTACCTGTGGGATCAGTATCCGCTGATTCACTTATCTGCTGCCTGAAAATTCTAAATCCCAGAAATATGTATGTCTCTGTATTTCCAGGGTGTATTGACCAGAGCCAGAGACCATGCAATGTATGGTGTTTGCTACTTCCATGTTTTTCAGCACCCGAGGGGCTTGAAACTGATTATTCCCCCCCCCCAGTGGATACAGTCATCCTCCTGTCCTTTGGCTTTAGCCAGATATAGGCATTGCTGCATTCAGTGAGGTCCCTGCTATGCGACTGCAGGTCCTCCCATACGTAGGTGCACACAAGATGGATAAAACCACCATTCTCCTTTTATAACCTACAAGAAACCAACCTGAGAGATTTAGTTGTGCTCTTTGGCTACAGCGGGACCCGAGCTTGCTTGCAAAGATCGGCTTTTAGACACTGAAAGGGTCCCATCCTGTTCGCAGAATGCACATTGTCGGGGCTTCCAAGCTCCTGGTCGATGTCAGGCGGAGCTGATTTTGTCGAGATGGGCCAACCGTCTGATCTCGTACCAAGCTCTCTAAAAACTACCTTTTCCTCTCTTCGCTTCTCCTCCTTCTCGCTTCCAGCTCCTTGCGATGTTTGAAGAGAACTACCCTGAGTCCTTAAAGCGTATATTTGTGATTAAAGGTGAGTGCAAGCGCTTCTCCAGGGTGGAGGCAGGGGGACGTAGAGAAGACGTGTCGGCCCCGTGTTTTCCCTGCCCGGCACCTGGCCTTTCCTTCTCTTCTCTTGCAGCCCCCAAGCTGTTTCCCGTGGCGTACAACCTGGTGAAGCACTTCTTGAGCGAAGACACTCGGAAGAAGATTGTGATCTTGGGAGGTGAGCGGTGGCTTAGCAGGGACAGGATTCATGGCCTCTTCTGACCTCAGGACCAGAGAAAGCTGCGGAGTGGCATCCATTGATAAGGATGGATCCATTGGAACTTCTTGGGCCTCCACGCAGCAAACAGCATCAGAGCCCAAAATAGCATTTCCCGCAAATCACAGAATTGTGGAGTCGGAAGGGGCCTCTGAGGCCATCCAGTCCAACCCTCTGCTCAAGGCAGGAATCCAAATCAAAGCAGCTCTGACCGAGGGTGGTCCACTTTTCTCTGGAGCCCTCACCACCTCTTCCTGAGGTCATGGGTCCCTCTAACTGTCAGGAAGTTTTTCCTGATCTTCAGGCGAAATCTGGCTTCCTGTAGCTTGAGCCCATGATTATGTGTCCTGCCCTCTTGATTAAACAAAAGCCAAAGAGGAAAGTTGTCCATTGAATGACGGCCATGGGAAAAAAAGGGGGGGGCTACATCAGCTCCGTGGACTCTGCGCCCACTAGGCAGCCCAGCTGAGCCCTAGCTGAAGAGAAAGGCAGGAAAAGGGGATGGGGGTTACTTCACTTCTGACTCCCTCACCTTCACTGGGATGTTTTTCCCTTGCACCAGTAAGGCCACCCCCTCCTTGTTACTCATGGGTAAACCAGCAATCCAAAGACTTGCATGGACCATTTCCACAGGAGAGTAAACACTTGTTAGCAATAGCTCCTTCCCTCCCTAAGCCTCTTCCTTCTGAGTAAGGCTGGCCTGAGGTCCAGTTTCCCAGTGTCCCAACCCATGGGAGAAAGCAGGAGGTGAGCCTCAGTGTCTCTTTTGAATACTGTGGTGCTTGGTGTGTGTGTGTGTGTGTGTTGTGAGGGAGGAGAAATGCAGGCTGAATCTCCCGTTCGCCGCCTCCTTGCGTCCTGCTGGGCCAGGCGTCCTCTTTCTGTGCCCTCGTTAGGACTGTCCACGTGACGGTCAAAAGGTTTCTCTGTATTCGGGGCTGCTTGAATGGATCCATTCAGGAGACGTTCCCTAATCTGTCGGCTATGCCGATCCACAGCCCGACAGCGGCTGGAAGGGTGGCCTTAAAACACAGCTTTTCCCATGACAACATTTTGAGGCTCAAAATGCAATGGGGCAGATTGTGTCCTTAAGTGAAAAAGTCCCTTTAAAATAATAATAATCAGCAGCAGTCTCCAGGTGCTCAGCATGCATTTTGTGGCAAGACAGTCTGTGCCTTGACGTTCAACTGTGAAGCGTCTTGCATAAAACCCGTGCCAAGGACAGGGACCCCAAAACACACAGCCTTATCTCTGCCCCCTGCTTTCGGTGGGTCAAAGGAGAACGTCGCGTCGGATGGTGGCACCGTCCCCTTCTTTCCTCGCTCGTGGCTCGATGCTCTGCTGGGCCCTTCGAGCGACGAGGATCACACCACAGAGGGTCCAACCTAGCACCATCTCTTTCATAAGCAAAGTTGAAAAGCCGTCCGATTTTTTTTATAAGCCTTTTCGGGAAAATTGGTTGAACTGGGCGTTTGGGGAAAACGCTGCTTACCTACAAAGCGGGACCTTCTCACTTTTCCCCTTAGCTGACTGGAAGGAGGTTTTACAAAAACACATTGACCCCGAGGAATTGCCCATGGAGTACGGGGGAACCCTCACGGACCCAGACGGAGATCCCAAATGTAAGACCAAGGTATGGAAGCTCGTCAGGAGCCGAGGACCGAGTCCGTGCGGGACCAGTGGCCAACTGGCTGAAAGGGGGTGTCTGGTTGAACTGGGGAGGCAGACTGGGTTGGAGGTCAAGTCCTGAACCATCAGATGTTGGAGGACGAGCCGTTCCCACGAGGCAAGGAGGTCCTCAGCGGGACAAATAGGGGAGCGGGCAGGTGTGGTGGGAGACAGGGTGGGCTAGGAAGGGATCCAACTAGGATAAATAGGGGGTGGCCCCCATGTGCTGCCCCTCCCACCGGGTCCACCCCCCCCCACTTCCTAATGGCAGGACTGGCTCTACCGTTTCTGTTTACACGGTACTTCTTGAATTGGAAAAGCTAGGCCTTCACGCAGCTTGAATGCCCGGCAGCAGATGGCATAGCCGGAGAGCGATGGCTGAGCCACCGCCATGCAGCTCCCCTCCCGTTGAGCTGTGCTTGAGCTCGGCACCCATGGCGGAAGGGGGGGGTAGACACCCCAGAGGCTCTCCCAATCTCAGCACCCCCAGCCGCCTTCTCACGGCGATCTCGGTCTCACGTGCAGCTTAACTACGGCGGTGAAGTCCCCAAGAAATACTACATGCGAGACCAGTTGAAACAGCAGTACGAGCACGTGGTGGTGGTGAACCGGGGGTCCTCGCAGCAAATGGAATACGAGATCCTCTTTCCGGGCTGCGTCCTTCGGTAAGCCAGGGCGGGACTTGAACCCAGGACACAGAGCAGAGGAAAGCAGAAGCCTGCAGTGGTGGGCAGGGGGGATGGGGGGGCTCTGCGTACGTCTCGTTCTTTCCCCTTCCAGCTCATCTTTTTTCCTTCACCCTGCGCAGTAGGAAGTCATTGGCCGGCATTTTATGACGGAGGTTGGAGTTGCACCCAGCTCTTTTCAGTCCGTGTTTAATGCATTAAGCCAATCGTTTTCAGTCCGTGTTTAATGCATTAAGCCAGTCGTTCCCAGCCTTGAACCCCCAGATGTTCTGGAACGGCAACTCCCAGAAATCTTGGTGAAGGCATTATCTGGGAGTGGCAGTCCAAGAACATCTGGGGAACCAAGGTTGGGCAACCGCTGCTCTAACCCAAGAACATCTGGGGACCCAAAGGTTGGGCAACCACTGCTCTAATCTTTACACCCTTCCCCCTTAGTGAGAGAAGGGACCAAGGACCCTTAGGTCCTGTGGCCTTCAGTGAGAAGACTCCGTGGGGAAAGTCTCACATCACGGCCGCTACTAACCCCACCACCCTTTTCAGATCACCTTCAGTGGGTTTCCAGCCCCTCGTTTTCATTTCAGTGTCAATATGAGCTAAGACAGGGTTTTTTTTTAAGGATTGGCCAGAATGAGTATATCAGGGGAAGAGGTTGGCCTGAACGAACGTCCTTCCTCTTCCTTCCCTTTTTTCCGACTTTCCTTCTCTGCCTCTTTTCCATCCTGCTTCCGTTCTGTCCAGATGGCAGTTTATTTCCGAAGGGGCTGATATCGGTTTTGGCGTCTACCTGAAGACTAAAGTGGGAGAACGTCAACATGCCAGTGACATGACGGAAGTGATCCCCAACCAGCGCTACAATGCGCACATGGTGCCTGAAGATGGCTCGCTGACCTGTGCAGATGCGGGTGTCTGTAAGTAGATCCTGATCAGCAGCTGGTCTGTCTACACTGGATGGACCGGTTGAGCCTGTATGGATCCAGCTTTCTTTGCTTAGAACTTTGTGGGAAACCCTTTGGCACATGTTTCCTATAGTTTAACTCATCATCTAGATTCTAGTGATTATTGATGCCAAAGCAAGGCAATGTCTTAAACCGAAGCAGTAGAATTGCCATTCGTTCATGAGTTGGGAACTTGTGCGGCTTGTCGTTGCAGCGGCTTGTCGTTGTCCTGACACAACCAGATAGGCGGGATATAAATTAAATAAATAAATAAATAAAGTGAAGGAATGAAAGCCGCAATTCGTTCATTAGCGGCCATTCGCTGTGGTGATTCACTCCATTGGACTTGCTTTGGCATAAGTCATCAATAGAATTCTGGTCGTAGATTCTCTTAAGACTTGGCTTTAGTATTGTTTCTGAAACAGACTTAACAAGGCTACCTTTTTGACAATTAAGACCCTTTGATCTTTATTTGAGAATCTGCCTGCTGCATTTTTTGCTGGTGTTCAGCCGTCTGGCCTAAGGTGGGTTGCAGCAGTCGCCATGCAGAAGTATGAGAAAATACTGAGAAAATGGCTTGCAAAATGTAAGTGGGTCCCCAGATCGAAAACAATGGAAACAATAGAAAGCTAATATTAATTGATATTAATAGTAGCTTTGTAATTGATATTATATTATGAATGATGGGGAGGAGGAGTTTTTAGGAAAATTATGTGGACATAATATATTTATGTTTATTATATGGATTTGCCTTTGCAAGTCACAATGCTCCAACCGGTAATTACAGTAACTACACCCACAGTTATAATATAGTAGGACTCCAGTATCCATAACATAGCCTGGTCTCCGGCTGCCTCTAGTGGCCAGTTCTGGTAATGGCCTCTTTAGAAATACCTATTTTGAGGATTTTTCTTGTGATATTTTCAGGCCGCAGATAAGGGATAAATGCAGAATCATTTAATTAATTAATTGTTATAAATTTTTCTTGAACTTGTTATCTTTTATGTTGTAAGCTGCCTAGAGTGGTCGAAATGACTAGATAGGCGGGGTATAAATACAATAAATAAATAAATAAATAAATAAATAAAAATAAAGTGAATCAGTGGATCCCGATCCCGTGGATACGGGGTTCCTACTGTATATCGCAGCATAAGCTCAGTTAATGTTAGGGGAAATGTGGTATGTACATAAATAGACCCTGGTTAGGGTGGAGGGTGCTCCAGGCAACCAATCTTAAAGCAAACCCGATGCGTGGCCTGCTTTATCTCTCTCCTGCAGACGTCCTGCGATTTGACAACACCTACAGCTACATCCACGCCAAGAAGGTCAGCTACACTGTGGAGGTCCTTCTTCCGGACAAGAAGTCAGAAGAGCAGTTTAAGCACTTGGAAGAGCAGACCAAGGAGCTCACAATTAACGATGCCTGATGGAGCCCTTCGCCCGCCCCCCCACGTGGGGGAACATCCTTCCTCCCCGAGCCGGAGGGGCGTTTATTGGGCAAGGAAGCAAGAAGACTCTTCCAGCGTAAAGTTTGGGGGGGCGGTTTGAAGGCACTGTGGGGGATAAGGGCTGGTATCCAGATGATTTTCGTCTTTGGGCAGTTGACGACCTATTGACCCACCCACACCCCCTCCCACTTTTACAGCTGAATAACTGCCCCTACAGTTTTAGGGTTTTGGACAATTGCTGGAGCAAAACGAGGGAGAAGAGGCTTTTGCATGGCCTGCGTTTGGATCCTCTGCTTTCTTGCCCTAGTTCGGTACCACTTCAGACGGTCAGCCTGGCCAAAGAGGGTTGCGATGGCTTGCCTTTGTGTTCACACAACACTTGAAGACCTTCTTCAGATCTTCAAGTCGAGTAGATGTGTAGGAGGGGGGCGTGAAGCCGTCCTTCACTGGATCAGACCAAATTTCCCTTCTCCCCATGCAATAGCTCCACCTCTCCGTCCAGTGTCTGTCTCCACTTCCCAACAGGCAGGGGTACACTTCCTCTGCACATGGAGGTTCTACTTAGCCACAAGAGCCTGTCTTCCATGAATGGTTTTTTAGCCCTTCCCGCCCCTCCTCATCACCCCCTTCTTTTTTTTTCTCTTCAAGTCAACCCTATTTACAGGCCTTCCACCGACTCTTGCAACGGGTTTGGTACATTCACAGCGTATTGAGGATTTCCTTGCAGAACAGAAAAAAGCACACGTCCCCCGCCTCCTCGGGCTTTTCAGGCACCCCTTCGGCTTTTTCCCTGCTTGTCGCCGGAATTCCAAGAAGAAGGGTGTCCTCTGAACCCACCCCTCGACCAACAAGCAACAATTGTACGGTGGGAGGAGGGGGGGGAAGAACAGCCCATTTCTTCCCTGTTTACAGCTGGCTTTCCCCACCCTGTGGTTTTGCTGCTCATCGATTGCCTTAAACAGTTTAACCCATGTTTACTTTGCTGGCCGAGGTGCCCCCGTGACCTCTGAACCGTGGCCCACTTGCCACCTCCGGCACGGCTCGAATGCTGGAAAATCCTGCACCAGAATTAAGATCATACGGTTGGTGCAAGCACTTGTTTTGCTTCCTGTTCAGTTCCTCCACCCACCCCACCCCACATGTCTTGGGAAGCCGGGCGGCGGTTTCATGCGTGCCTCCAGGAAGTTCAGAGATGGAGAGAAGGTGGGACAGAGGCTTCCCTGTTTCAGGCTTCTTGTCGAGTGTTTTGGGCACTTTCGGAAACCAGCAGCCGGATTCATCTCTGCCCCCCCACGGCTTGCCCATGCTTCGCGCATGGCGAGACCATACCCCTGTGGCGGTACGGTTCGGAAACAGCATCATAGCGCTTGGGAGCCCCCGTTCGTCCTTGTTTCGTCCTTGAACTTGAAAATGAGAAGTTTGAATAAAGGTTCGATAAGAGACGTACTTAGTTGGGGCTGTCTTGTCTGAGTGGCATCCTGTGGCTTCATGGGGAAGGGTGAGGGTGGCCCGAGTGTCTCACAGTGGGCACAACCAGTGCACGACTCTCCCCTGAGGCCCAATGGTCCCGGCAGGATCCCGGCCTTGGCCGTCAAGAAGTGGAGGTGCCCCAAACACAGAATAACAACCATTGTGTTAACAGTGGGGAAATCAGATCCGTTTCCTGGTCTGTTGGTAAACTTGCTTTGGGAGGGTGTGTTCGCTTAAAAGGGGCTTTACTGAACCCCTGGGCCAATTAGTACCCAGTGTGGGGAAGTGGATAGAACAATGGCCTAGAACTCAGGTGACCCGGGTTCGAATCCTGTCTTACTGGGTAGTGGACCTGGCAAAACCCACTCCTTTTAATATCTTACTTGCCTTAAAAGTCTTGTTAGGGTCACTATACGTTTGTTAATTAGCAGCTAAGGGCTGCTCCAAGTCATGCTGATGCATATAAGCTGATGTAAATATTACACTTAGATGCTGGCCATTGCATTAATTCGTTTAATAGCCTTTTCTCCAGTGAGCTGGCTGGGTAGCTCAGTGGTTTAGGTCTCTGGCTATGGAGCCAGAGGTTGGGAGTTCGATTCCCCTACTGTGTGCCTCCAGGGAGAAGAGCCAGCCTGGGTGGCCTTGGGCCAGCTGCACGCTGTCCCAGAACTGTCCCCAGAAGAAGGAGAAGGGAAACCTCTTCTGAGTATTCTCTGCCTGGAAAACCGAGAAAAGAGCCATCAGGTCTAGGAATATACCCATTCGTAGTGGTCCCATTCTACCCCAAGACCAAAAAAGGTGAACCTCTGAAGGACGAACTGGAATGGTGCTAATTAAAAAACTTTGCCTGGGATGATGTGGGGGAGGAACTTCACCCATCTTCATGAATAGTGAAGGGAGAATGGGATTTGATTAGCAGAAAAGTATAGAGGGGTGTCTGGAAGGGAAGAGTCACTGATCAAAGCGGGCCGTGGGAAGACCCTGAGGGATGGCTTTTTGGGTCGCTACCCCAGTTAGGCTGTTACTGTGGGATGCACTCTGTGCATGCTCTGGAGCGATGCTGTATCCAATATATATATTTGGATTTCCTGGAGCATTAATCCCATAATTCCCCATTCTGGGAGTTGTGCCTGATTTACATCTCACGGCACAGAGCTTAAACTGCAGTCCTGCAGACGAAGCTCTGCTCACAGCCTGTTCGATCCTGAAAGGGCTCAGATGGGTAGCTTAAACCATCCATCTGTCCAAATAAACTGAGTACCCTTCTCGTTGTGCATGTGTGTGTGTGTGTGGGAGGGGGGAATATGTTGCCTGCATAATTAAATTGTAAACCACCAAGAGAATGCTTTAAGGGCTATGGGGTGGTATATAAGTAGCCCACTTTATTTATTTTTATTTATTTATTCAACTCATATGCCGCCCACTCTACCCAAAGGTCTCTGGGCGGCTCACAATTTATTCATTTTACTAATGTTTTTCACAAGACCCTAAATAGGGTTCACCCATGGAATCATAAAACTAAGGAGGATGGGAGATGGTTCTAGGTGTTTGGCCTGTTTCGTGCACACTGCCTATGGGTCTCCCTTGGGAAACAAGGCATGAACGGGGATGCTTCGGGGCCTCGCTCAGCCTCACTCTGCTTGGCTCCGGGTTCAGAAGGAAAGCTCCCAGCTAGTGCAGAAGAAAAAGGGAGCCAGCCTTACGTGGGGTTGCCATTTGGGGTCAGATTACCCAAGGGCCAGGCAGAGAAAGCCCTTTGTGATGCGGGCAGGACCAAAAAATGAGATGCCAGGCTGGGCCAGAGCAGGATTTTGACCTACTTTGCTAGACAATGGGCCAAACACAGAAACGGAGACGCTTGGGGTTCGTTCCTCTTGGTCGACATGATGGCAGAAGGCTGGACCGAGGAACTGATGCAACATCCGGTTCTTGTTATTATGGTTTGGATTTTCACGACAGAGTTAGGGAGCGATGGGAGTTTGACTTAGAGATTTTGAGAGTTGTTGGTAAGCTTGTGACCTAGAGGTAGGTGGGAACGAGCGGGATCTCTTTAAAGAGGTAAGTTGAGTTTCCTTTGGTCGTCTTTATTCCCACCTTCTCCCTCTTCCTCCCTGAGTCTGCTCTTGCACTTCTGAACCCGAAGCAACTTTGCTTCCATCTCCTTTTGCTTCATAGCCTTGCTTCTCATTTTCTTTATTTTCTTTATCTGTTCAAAATATTTTTACCCCACCTTTCTCCTTAAAAGGACCCAAGGCAGCTCACATCATTCAAAAGACAAAATTTAAAAGCTAGAAAAAGTAAGCTGACAAATATTTAAAGAGACCCGAAGTATTATATTAAAAACAGTAAATAAAATCAATACTAAAAACACATGTACAGACAACAGAGCACAACACTCCATTAAAAAAAAACATTTCAGAGTCACTTTGGAAAACCCTGCCTGAAGAGAAAGATATTTGCCTGCTTGCAGAATGATAGCCAAGATGGGACCAGCTTGGCTTCCAGTGGGAAGGAGTTCCACAGTCTAGGAGTGACCACCAGTGGGAGGGAGTTCCAAAGTCTAGGAGTGGCCATAGAGAAGGCCCTCTTTCCTGTGTCCCCATCAGATGCACCTGAGAAGGTGGAGGGACCCAGAGAAAGGCTTGTCCTGCTGATCTTAACACTCGACAAAGCTCATAAAGGGAGACGTGGTCTTTTAAATAGCTTGGGTCCAAGTGGTCTTTTAAATAGCTTGGGTCCAAGTTGCTTAGGGCTTTACTGGTTACAGCCAGCACTTTGAATTCAGCCCAGAAACAGATTGGCAGTCAGTGGAACTGCCATGACAGGGTTTTTTTCCCCCCTCCTGTGATCCCTATAAGCAGCCCAGGTCAGCAATTTGACTGCTGCATTTTGGCCTTGCTTAAGTTTCCAAACTCTTTCCAAAGACAGCCCCAGATAGAATGTGGTGCAGTCATCCACCTAAGATGTAACTCCGGCATGTGTCACTGTAGCCGGATCAGATCTCTTGAGAAATGGACGTTGCTGGTGCACAAGTTTTAACCGTGCACTTCCACCCCTGAAACCAAGCCATCCAGGCTCCAGAGACGAATCCAGGCGCCTCCCCGAGGTAAGGGAGAGAACTGAGCCAGATGACAACTTCCACAAATCACAGCGAAACACCATCAAAGGTCGTTTTGTGTTGCAAGAGATGTATCCAACATAGTCAAACTGCTGGTTGAAAGGATAGCATGACCAAAAACATTTTAACTCTTGGATAAAACAGTTTAACCTGCAATCATAAGACTCCCGGGTTTGTTTATTTTTTTAAAAAAGAAACAAAATGAGCAGTTAAAGCTGTTTAAAAGCTAAAAGTAAAAATAAATGGACTTGTATCTCTATGGAGAGAGAAACTCAGAAGCAACTCAGTACAGACATAAGTCACGGAGACAGTTTCTTGTGCCAAGAAAATCAAAATAAGTAGGTGTTAATGGGAAAAGACTCCCAATGTTGGAAGTCTGTACATCTCCTTTGGCTTCTGTATCGTAACACCTTTTAAAGTGGGCCCTAATTTCCTCGATAAGCGCCGGAAATAGTCATGTTGTCTTTCTGAATGCTTTTAAAATGGGAGATCTATTTTCAAATGCTTCATAAATATTCAGCTCCGACTTCCGCGCCAAGAAGACAAGACGAAAACCAAAGGAAAGACAGTGTATGACACATGAAATCCCGACCTCCCCCAGGCATCAGTGAACCACCGGCCGCTGGGGCTAGAATGAAATTTAAATCAAAGTGGCCTGTGTGCTGTCTGACCCTCATAGCGACCAAGATGGCAATCTGTGGGTCCGCCCATGGTGTGCAATGGGCAATTGTGCATGGGTGTGGTTTTCAATGGAAAAAGGAGGAGAGGCCATGCCACAAAATGGGCGCTGACAACATGTATGGAGGTTAAGTGTGGCAGACCCTGGAGCCCAGTGGTGAGATGTACTGGATGTTGGACTATATAAAATAGACTCCTTTTTTCCTAGCTGAGCCAGGCAGTGGGACCAAACCGAGCTCCTTCCCAAAGACCAAGCCCGATCTCTCTACCTTCCAGGGACTCTGGAAGAAGCTCCCCAACCAGGAGAAGCTGGCCTGCTTTCAGGCCGTCTCCACTGGCTGAGGGGGAGGGACTCCTCTGGCCCCCCCAGTCGCAACGAGCAGCTGACCTGGGCCATCCTGCTGAGCAAAGGGAGGCCAGCGCCAGCGGGGAAGGATGGAGCCCCTGGCTTCCATCAAGGACAGAGATCCAGGGCTGGAGGGGGGATCCACCGAAAGGCCCAGGTGGGGAGGATTCAGGTGTCCCTTCCAGGCGGGACATGGGGTTCTCTGTGCCCCCCTTGGAAGGACGTTTGTGGGGGGGGGAGACTAGGGGGAAAGAGGGGAAAGGCTCGCAGGTGGGTTGCTGATGGCGGCTCTTCATCTTTGGTCTTGTCCTTCTGTCCTCCAGAAGATGATGATGGAGACCCTCCCAGAGGCAAGTGTAAGGCCTCCAGACAGGGCAGGACGAAGGGTCCTGAAAGGAATGGGAACAACGAGCCTCAGGTGGCTGCCCAAAATTGTGAAAGTTCCCAAGCTTGGCTTCTCCAGGTGAGACACCTGTAGGTGTCTCCAGGTAGATGGTTGTGAGGATGGACAATGATGGGATTTGTAGTCCAAGAGATCTGAAAACCCCGTGCCTAATGGAGACATGGTTCCCTTTACGAAGGTGCTCTGAATCTGCTCACTTTACAGGAGCTCTCCAAGGTCCTGAACTTGTTTGGGGGACAGGATCCGTATCTTAGAAAGCTCTTGCGATGGGCAGATGAGTATGCAATTATGGAGCCCAAAGTGTTCACTTAAAGGTAAGCCTTTTATAGGAGAAAAACCCCACAACTAAAATAATAGCAGAAGTATAAATACACGACTCTTTCAAGTAAAAGCAAAACGCAAATTGTGCTGTTTATACAGTATGC